TGCAAATCAGTGGCAGACCCAAGTCCCAGAATATCAATTGATTTTGGTCAATCTATAAATGGGATGAAGTGATCAAGAGAGAGTAACAAGCTTTGGTTGTGGAAGAAAAATTGGCTCTCATATGTTGGGGAGTGGGGACAACCAAGAGCCAAATGAGGAAAGGAAAATTGGGGAGTGGGGACAAAAGAAGTAAATGATTAATGATAATTGGATGAAGTGATAAATAAAAAGAGTTGTTAGTTGGGTGTGGAAGAGAAGGGGCCATCGGTTGTGAAGGGAAATGGGGGACCAGAAGAGTAAATGGATCTTAGGGAGTGTAAATGGAACTTGGAGAGTGGGGACCAAAAGGAATGACTAATATAATTGATATGGGACCAGAGGAGTAAGGTGAATGATATAAATTTTGTGATCATTCTTTCATGATTTTTCTTAAAAAAAAAATCTGGGGGCACCTTTAAAATTATGTCAAAATTATAGAAGTATTATAGGAATTTAAGGGGGTAGCGGGGCGGTGCCCCCAATGTCCCCCCTTTAAATCCGCCCCTGTGCGGAGGCTACCAACTATTTTATATCCCAAAAACTCTTATATGTTCTATAAATGGCCTTCTACCACTCCAAATTTCTTCAAGAGTTTTTTCAAGAATACTTTTAGTGGGACACCTGTTTAATAAATAAATTGCACAAGGAACTGCTTCTACTTCTACCCAAAAAGATTTTGACATATTTTTCAACTTCAACATATACCTTACTAGATTCATAATTGTCATATTCTTCTTCTCTGCCACCCCATTTTGTTTATGGGGTGTATTTAATAATCAATTGATATTGTATCCCATTTTTTTCAAGAAAATCATCATAAACCAAATATTTCCTGACTCCTGTATGTTCTCAAAATTTTATTCTGACAGCTACTTTGTCACTCAACAAAAGTCTTAAAATTTATAAAAGTGTCATGGGCATTAGATTTCTACTTCAAAAAACACACCCAAGACTCTAAAAATATGTATTGATTTTTTAGTTTGAAATCATAACGTGACCCATATACAATCATCTTTATGTACAAAAAGATTAGATCCAACATTTAAAGGAGCAAAAATGAATATGGATTGGATAAAATCTCATTTTTTGTTATTTCAAGAATGATTCTTTTACTTTTGTTTATTACACATCAGTGCATGTACGATGCAGATGGGAAAAGATATATTACATGCTATTCATACTGTTCAAGTGAAATCAAATAGATATATACATGGATTTTAAAAAAACTATTCGCACAAATGGTCAATGAGGGATGAAAAAATTCATTTTGTGAAATGTGAGGAACGAAATAATTCATTTTGTGAAATGTAAAGGACTATAGATTAGATTATATAAATTTTGATTTGATAATTTTGCCCCTAAAAAATGATCACATACAAGGCACATGATGAATTTCGACCAAAAATTAGTCGAAAATTTAAGTAGGGATCAAATTTGACCAATGTGAAATTTTAAGGGACGTAAGATTACACTTTTAAAAATGAGACACGAAAAAAATTATTTTATAAAATATGAGGGACGTTTTGAACGATTTTCCCTTTTTTTTCTTTTGATACATGGGCTTGATGTCCTGATTATATTGATCTCCAAGCCAATATGTAGTATTTAAAATACTCAAATTTCGAGCAGGTGATTATGGAGTTTTAAGAATGAAAGAGAGTAGTTGTGACAACCACACAAATTTCATGGTAGATGTGATATTTGCTTTAATTGATGATTGAACCCAAACTAGAAATTCAGCGACAGTGGCCGAATAGCATGTTTCCGAGACATCATCGAGTCGTACAAGTTTAGCAGCAATTATTTTGCTTGCCTGTTTTTTCACTTACACCGCAAATTTGTTTTGTGGCAACTTGCCAAAAGGTTCATTATCAAGTGGCAGCAGCAGCAATCAATCAGACACTAACCCGTTATATTTGTCAGCAAGAAAATGGGAAAAAGGCCTGAGGGTCTGAATTTAAAGCAATTGGCTGCACAATAAGTTCCACGACACTTGAAAATTTTTATCTGAGCATATATTACTTCAGTTGTACATTTTAATTGATTGCAACATTTGATAGTGACAAACATACATAACTTTTTCCAAGGAGACGTGTTTCTCTTCTCTTTAGCAGATGGGAAAGTTTTGATGCAAAGGTAATAATAAAAGCTCAAGGAAAGCAGCATGTGAAGTGGAGGTAATAATGCATTCCAACTAAGTACGTGTCAAAGGTCGTTTTCCCAGGACCATTGCCATTGTTGACGGTTCAAAATTCCAGGCTCTGGTGGCATAGACTCGCTGCGAACGTGCCTCCTTGTCTGCTATACGCATCTCCAACTCTTAATATCTTAATATCATCAAGAACAAACATTTAAATGCATCAATCAATATGACCTTATCATGTTGGAAGAAAGGTTTCAGCAAGGGATCATTTAAGGAGTGATATGGACATATGGGCAATCAAATAGTATATGATTTGATTAGATAGGAGGTTATTTGGAATTTTTTTTATATTTATTGTAGCACTTTTTTTTCAACCTGACATAATACGAGATAAAAAAAATTAATTAGAAACGTATTTTGTGAATAGTAAAATTTGTTTCCGTATTATATGTGAAATAAAGTGTGATTTTGTGAATAAAAAGTATTTCATACAAGTGTAACTACTACTACTACTTCACACATAAGGGATACACGCTTACTTGATTGTCAGGTCAATTGATTTTTTTCAATTTTACAAGATATACATTCATGTTTTTAAGGGAAGGTATAAATATTGAACAAACTTTTTGGATCCCATATCATACATGACATTAAAGATAGATTTGAGTCATGCATTTTTTTTTTATCAATCATGACCGTGAACTGTTAAGAACAGTCATCAGAATAATCGTCCTGCCCCATTTCCTGACATCTCAACCATCATTTGATTTATACCTTCTACGCTAGATGCACTTCATAATTCAAAAGTTGGTATCACTCCAAGAGAGGAATTGAATGTCCTAGCATTAGCAAGAAGCAATCATACATGCACAAAAAGACACAATGTCAAATCAAACTTTTTGCATATGGATTACAAAGCCCTAGATCAAGAGATTAAGATCATTTGCACTTGGAAATGTAGATGGAACGGACAACGCTTCTTGAGAATCATTTGACCGCAGTTTTACGAGTAAGCGTGACCCTCTTCTCTGATACATGAAACACCACAGACTCCACATCTGCAGCACAAATCATGTGTGTGATCAGAGTCATAGAAACAAAAATGTCAATCTATAAACTCAACTAATCAATGGTTTGGTCAAATTTCAAAGCATATTAAGCTATTGCAAATCTTGATTAATTGGGACATTCGATCAGGTGGTTTAATTAGTGTCTCCATTGGTTTGACACACAAAAGTATACCATCGATTTTGGAGAGTATGCCAGCAACCCTTCTTTCACATTCCCCACACCTTAAATCAGCTGCTATAATCACCTCTTGAACCTGCTTTTATCATCAAAGAAAAGAACCTCAGTTGAGTCCATACAGAAATACTCTTGAAGCATTGCTTTCAGAAATTGTGTACGACTACCACACAAAATGAGAGAAAGGGTGAACTTGAGTAGCAACTCCAAAAATGAAACAAAAAAAAAAAATAAAGGAATAAATAGGAAACAAAAAACTCAGAAAAATTGTGTACGACTAACTGGTGGCAAGGGTAAGCATTTTGCAGTAGTGGCTGAGCTGCTTGGAGGAAGTAATCTTCTCTGCTTCTGTAGTCTAAGTCGAGCGTACTCCTTCTTGGCCCAAGAAAGAGGATTCATATCTTGTACCAGGAGGCACTCAAATTATGAAAAAATTGTTCTGATCTTGGTGTTAAAGCAATGGTAGCTAAGCAAACAGCTCCACAATAATGACTTCCAACTTGATAGTTGAATCAGCTTTACCTATACTTGGATTAACTTGAAAGTGAGCCAACGAAGAGAAAGAGAAACAAGGGATGATTTTTGATGCAATATTCCGCATTTTGGGTTGAGAAGTCTCATCTTTTTGAACTGCGTAAGTATAGCCACAGCAAAGAGATGGAGATGGAACTTCTGCAGCCCACATGTTAAAGAAGGCAGCTATAATTATAACTTGACAAAGACTTTTCAGCATTCAGGCCTAATTTTCTGATCTTTTATGGCCTTTTAGCCACCCCTCGGCCCCTCTTTTCTTCTTAACTATTCTTCAACACCTTGCACCAAATATTCCCTTGGCCTGTGGCTCCGGGCAGTTGATTAAACAAATTTGTCGACCAGCTTGTGATGTCGTGACTAGCATCAATGTTTTGTAATAAGATAATGCAGACATGGGGAGAGATGTTTATTTTATTTTTATCGCCATTCATTCATTATCATCATCATGGCTTTCTTTAGGGAGGAAACAATTGCTATAACAACAAAACTGAACATTTGGGACCAATGGATCACCAAACTTGGACTGTTGCGCTTTGATTAATTTGAATTGTTAAGGTAAAGTTGGATGCTTAAGAAAAGAGAAGGTTCATTGAAAAGGCTACCGCGGCTTTGATCATTGATAGGACAGCGAAACAGAATCAAGACTTGACATCTCAATGAAGACGTGAAATCTGTTCTGTGACAAGAAAACTGTTCTAGATCCTGTGAAAAGAAAACGAATGGCAATCGCAACAAATAGCAGTCGGCTGCATTCAACGAGAAATTCCTGACTTGGTTAAGAATTGATTTATTTGCACTCTATATAGTGAATTGTAAAGGCATAAATTCTTGAGAAAAGATGGTGAAAACAATTATGTGCACTCTATCGTTGGAACAATTATGTGCACTCACTTCCATTGTGCCGAAAACTTGATGGTAAACAAATCTTGAGTGTTGAAAATGTCAGAGCACCATCTCACTCAGGAACATATCTCAGTGTGTGGGACATGTTATTCTTATGGCTCCACTCCCAATTGAAGGTTGGTGGCACCAATTTTTTTTTTTTTTTTTTGCAATATTAGTCCAATAAGAAGGAAGATGTTTTAACTTCCATCTGTAACGTTAGTCAATCGTCTTCAGTGAGTTCATCCAGAAATTTTCAATCCTTTAAACGTGGTGTTTAATAAATATGTGTTTGATCAGACATCTAAGCTTCATGAATTTATTAACTCCAAGGACAACAACAGTAACGAAAGAAAATTTTCTGTATTACGATGCTTAGAAATCATGCACAGTTGGAAACCTTTGTGTCATAAGCCCTTGATGAACGATTACTTGTATGAGCTTGGCTTAGCCGCTGTCCTGGTGGGACTTCATTCAGGCAATAGAACATGCAGGCCCTCTCATGCATGCTGCATTTTTGAACTTTCTAAGACCAGAATGATCATGCTGAAGGTAGAAGAATGAAGCAGATGTGTTGACTGTTGATTATGGACTCAAACTAGCACATGCATCGTGCATGCTGCAGCCCATACTAAACTAATGCAAGTTCATCTATTTATGAAACCCCCTTCAGCATGGAAAAATCCATCTCAGAAAAATCAAACACAATCGGCCTCATTCACCTAATTTTGATAGACAAATGGCAGCTTCTCATCTCATGCTTCCTTGTGTCACTGCTTCTCTAGTTCTGTTGTTCGTCCCTCGCTTCTTACCAATTGTCCAGCCACAAACCATTGGAAATTCACAAACAGGTCCTACTGTTAGCGAATGTGTGCCTCGCCTGCTGTCGTTGGCTCCCTGTGAAGCATTTGTGCAAGGCACATCGGCATCACCTCCTCAGACATGTTGCTACAACCTCAGACAAGTCTACAACCAGGAACTTAGCTGCCTCTGTCTCATGGTGAATGACTCTTCCATAAGTGCTTTTCCTATCAATAGAACACTAGCCCTTCAGTTGCCAGTCCTCTGTAATCTTCAAGGAGGCTTATCTGCTTGTTCAGGTACTACATAACATCTCATTATGCCCAAAAGGACGAGGTTCTAAACATGACTAATTGTTTCTTGACATTTTGATTTTTCTTCATCAGTTTTAAAATTTTGCTTTGGAAGCAAGATAACCCTTTATGCATTTCTGACAAATGTCACTTATCTGTGTTTCGCTCTTGTCTAGCTGGAGACATAGCTGTACCCTTCCCTCCTAGTTCACCAACTTCTCAAGTTTCATTCGGGACAAAAACAAATGCTACTGTTGCTGGTATGCAAACTAATCTAGCCTTATGTATGCTTTACAGACTAACTTAAATCTGTGTGCTAGCTAGTATATCAAACTAAAATACCGGAACCAGCTAAATACTGATGCAGCCAGAAATTAATCACAGAGAACTTGAGTTAAAAGCTTAACTAAATTATCAAAGTTTACAAAAATAGATTAGTACTTCTGATAGGGTTTAGTTTCTTTGTTGTCATACACGCAAGCTCTAACAATCTTAACTTGTTTCTTGATTTCAGCCTCTCCAATGATCACAGTATCGCCAACGACTGGCATCCTGGGATCCATCCCGCATAGTGTAGCAAATTTGAATGCAATAAATCACTTGGTGGTTGCATTGATAGCTGAAATGCTCTTGCTTGGGATGACATACACTTTAGAGGCTTGGAATATCATGTTTCTTACATTCTAAGCCTTGGGTCAGTTCATAGTAATTAGTTACTATATGTCGTATATCCATTGCTAAAATAAGTTCAGCACAGTTTAATCTCAATTAGCTTGTTGTTGTGGAACTTATTAGCAGTTTGATGTTGTAGCTTAATTCTGTAGCTCTATAAATTCTTTATAAGTATCAAACTGCAAAATCTTGTACATTAAAGAAGCTCTTACCTCCTATGCCATCATGCTATGTATAACTACCGAAAGCAAAACATTGCATATTAAAGAAGCCCCAGGTTCAGACAGCATTTTTCTCTGTAGGGTCATCCCTTATAACTGGATTTGTCCCAAAACAATAAAAGATCTGGATACAACAGCTTTCAAAGCAAAGTTGCTATTTAATTACTTGAAAGAAGAACTGATCTTTTAAAGCTTGTGATATGGCACTAATCCAGAATAGCTATCACTGACCAGTTGCACAACTAGTTCAGAGATAGACGGACAACTAGATGGAAAAATTAGATAAAGGACAGTTTGCAACCATGTATAATTCTGAGGTAATGTTGGCAGCAACAAACCTGAAATATATGTTATGTTCTCGTTTAGGATGTATCTTGAGAATAATATGGGTGCTTGATTTGGTGATGCACCTATCATTGTATGCACAAGAGAAACACTCTGCTTGTTTATTAACAGACTATGGCATAAATGCACCTTCAGCTTGAATTGGTAGTTTTTAGCCTTATGCACTCAGATGACAAACTAAAATTCTGATACTTCTTTCAAGCCATTGAATCAACCACATCTTTTGGTTTTTGGCCAGGAGAAGATCAAGTCTTTGTGGGAGGCTTAAGCTTCATCAGCCAAAAACATAGGGCAGAAGTCATTATCAGTCCCCTCAATCGGGTATGGCTCGGCTTCACAAGAACTTCAGATAACCAACAGTGTGATAGGCTTATTTTTGTTATTACGAAATTGCATCAAAACTCCAAATTTTAGCTAGAAACTGTTGACCTGTCAATGAAACAATACCCATACCAATAAATATTCTTCAGTGAACCAAAAAGATGCCTCTTTCTCCAATATCTGGCAAACTTGCAATTAGACAGAGAAGATACCAAATATGCAATGTACAACTATTTGCAGTTGAAACACAAACTTCTTCCATGATCTCATTGCAACTCCTTGAGATCAGTTGAACTGAGAGATGCAAAGGCAGCATACAGGTATAAATTGGAGCAGAAATAATGTGTATTTCCTCATTGAAGCTACTGAATTCTTTAAGTTTCACAACTTCAGTGCATATCATTTCTATACCAATGTAATCCAAAAGAAAACAAATAGAAGATAGACACAGAATTCAAGATACCTTAGAATTTATCACAATTTCATGTCAGCCAAAGCCAGAATAGTTATTCCAAACTAGGCGCTTCCTCAGTCGGATTAGACTCAAAAACATCTGAGCCAGAGGCCTCTGGTTCTTCTAAAAGCTCTCTAGATTGGATTGATTCCTTGTATGCTGGTGTGTCTTTGAAATCTGTTGCTCCCTCATTATATGTAGCCACAGCAATGCCACAAGCAATTAACTGCAAACAAAAGAAGACAAATTCATCATGAATTCCTTCAAACTTGTTAGGCAGTGCAAATCTACAAGAAGAAAAACCTGTATAAGATGAATCTCCAATAAGACTGATGCCATTAATAAATAAGCCAGAATCAACCCTATCTTTAGATGTAATACGGCTTTTCCAGGTCCTGTGAGCTCTTGCGATATTCTTCTCACCAAATTTCACATTGAAACTATTATGAAACTGTACTATGAAACTATGAGTGCAATCTTTTTGTGTTCCAGATTCTATAATTATATGAAGTTCATCCTATATGTTTTGTATCGAGGCTCTAGAGACAAGATATTGGGTGCTTTATTGTTCTCTTTGCTGTCTTTCCACACGAGCAGTCGGATATGGTGCTAATAACTATCAGAAGTAGTGATACATGCAAAATGTAAAGAATCTATCCTGGCCTTTGACTGGGATAACTTTTTCTTGGCCAGTGTGAAACATCCACTCAGAATCCCTGCATTCTTAGGGAACAATAGAGTGATAATTTTAGGGGGCCATCTTCTCCTTCAACTGCCTAATCACACGAGAAACAAGCACATGAATTGCGACATCATGACCTGTATAACTTGGCGCCCGGATATGACTTCGAAAACCATTTTCAGCTAATTAGTAACCTTAGTTCGCTATCAGTGTCTTTATTCTTGAGCATCCTTATAAACATGACCACGTTGACAACTTTTTCTAACTATACTTCATCAAAGTTGGTTTCTATTCTCCATCCCCATAACGTGATATCATTGAAGAGCAGCTATAAATTGACAGACCTGACTTAATAGGAATCTAATCCACTTGATGCATTTCTTTAGTTGCTGCAGTTGACGAGGAGGGAAAATCTTTTCTCAAATGGGTTAACAATAAAAACTGGAACAAGAAAAAGAAAAGAAAAGAGACCTAGGCATCCCACTATATGGGAGCTAAATTATTCGTCCATAAACAAAACTAGAAATATCAAATATTGCACAATATGTAGGGAACACAATAGTCCTAAAAGTTTATTGGCAAATACAATATTCTTGCTTTTCCTTTAGATGTGTTTTTCTTTGTATTCCTTTCCATTCTGTGGTGGAATGAGTTTATTTTTGAAGCAAGTAGAACTGAATCCACCTAACTTCCTATTTCCAACTACCTCAGCTCACCATCTCTTCCCTTCCTCGTCATGAGTTGAACAGAACAACCACCATTTTAATACAAGAAAGAACAATGAACAAGAAAAGCTAGCTTTCTCCCAAACAAACATTACTTTAATCAAGCTTTCTCGTTACCAACCCACCTAGTACAATAAATTGTGCTAATGTAAATCTATTACTTTTGCTTAATTTCATCTCACTTTCGATTGTTCAGTACTCGAACCAATCAAATTAACATTTGAGCATAAATTGAGTAAATTAACAAAAAAAAAATGTACAGACAAGAAAGAATCAACTAAATTACCGCGAAAACAATGCCAAAGGCCCACAAGTACTGGATGACGAATCCAAGAGTATCCCATTGAGGACCTTCCCAAAAATCAGGCTTTTCACCAGGAAGCTCCGGCATCACAAACCCATCATCAACGGTTACAGTTGAGCCACTACCATCAATATCAGCCGTCCGATCAAGTTCTTTAAGCTTTGGCGCTTCTTCAGCTTCTTCTGTAGTTGAAACCGAGCTTCTTCTCTTCTTGCTGTCAAACTTGCCTGTTCTTGATGAAGACAGCTTCTTTGAAGCTGAGACTACGGTCAGATGATGGGTTCTTGGAGATGACAATGGTGGTAGTAGAATCGTACGGCGGAGAGGGCCGTTGGTGCATGGCGTCCTGGCGGGGGTGTTGTAGAGGATTTGATTAGTGTTGAGTGCCATTTTTGAGTGGCTAAGAGAGTCTGAGCAGAGGACAGCATATGAGCGGATAAAACGAATTAACTGTTTTTCAAAGAAGATTAAACCGGTGAAACGACAGCATTTGCGTTGTTCTTTTATTGGGCTCTATTGGGCCTTGGATCAGCCCAAGGAATTGCTCTGCATTGGACTGGCATTATTTCGTTGCATCTCTGGATAGATTTTTTTTTGGTTTTCATCTTTTTAAGACTGATTTTTGTTATACAAAATTAATACTTTTCTACATTTTTGTTTTATTGAAATTATAAATTCAAGAGAGAAACATTTTTTTTTACTATGATTATCGCGGGAGATTAAAGAGCCAAGGGGTTTAGTCTACTAGTAAAGTTAAGATCTACACAAATACTTGGTGTGGGCATTCAAGGTCATAGGCCTTCCTATTTTGAGATCATTAGGTTTCTGAAAGAAATGAATTATAACAAAGCTTAAACTGTGTAGATTGTATTCTTTTTTTCGGGATTTTTTTTTTAGAAAATAAATAACATAATGCATTTTTGAGATGCAATATATGTGAAATAATAAAGTAGTTCGGAGATGTGTATTGAATATCTTCCTAAAACTCAAGAAAACTTTCCAAAAAGAGTATCCAAAAATTATATTACTAACATTTGAACGCGTTAAGTAGCAACTTAGTGACAACCTATTTTTAAGAAAAAAAATGATTTTTACTGAATAAAAATTTCCATATAAGAATCTTAAACGTAAATATGTAACCTTTCACGTACGTTACTTTATTAGTTTTTGACAGCTTTGTATATTCATGTTTGCAAATGTTATATATTTTGTCGTTAGTTTTAATATGATAGAGAGCTTGTTCTCGTTTAATCATTCCAGATGAGGAGAAGGGTTGGGTTGAATGATAAGATGGAAATGTTTGTAAGTATGAAATCTTAACTTCAAGACCACCCACTCATTTAACAAAAAAAAAAAAAACAACTTAGTTACAAGAAAATTTGATGTAGCCACAGCATTTCCAACTTCAATGTAGCTTCAAGACTTCAAGATTCATCTTTGTTACAGCAATAGAAGAGGGGGAAGGGAGGGAATGTAGCTGATTGCTAGATGATATTTTTAACATTGATTGAGTGACGAATTAGCTACAAGACAAGTACGATATGCAGAATTGAGTTGGAAAATACGTTTCGTAGTTCTCGCATGTGTCAAAAGTCTTGATATTTGTAAGTTCACTGAAGTTTCGTAGCTCATTCTCAATTGGACTGAATAATAAACGTTCCAAACTTGGAAAAAGAGAGCCCCAGGTCAACACCGAAGTTACACGCCTGAGTTTCAAGGTACATAATTGAGTTGTTTTCTAAGACGAATTCGACTTTTCTGGTAATGATTATTCAGTACAAATGGAGAGGAAACTTTATCCTAGCACAATTTGCTTCAAGTTGACGTACAAGACTCTCGTAAATTTCCCAACCACTCTCCTAGAATTTTTGAAAAATCGCCCTCGTGAGTGCTGATCTATTTCAAGAAACATTAGGAAACTACTTGGAAAGTTTAACGAGTAAAGCAACTTGGTGAGAAAAGTCTAGGCTTGATTTGTGGCGTAGTAACAAGACTTTACAAAGGTCTCGTTTGGATTGCATTTTCCGTCATTTTTCATGAAAAAATTATTGTAGCGATTTGATGTATGTGAGGAAAAAAGGTAATGGGGAAATGTGTTCACGGAAACTCGTTTGGATTGCATTTTCCGTCATTTTTCATGGAAAAATTATTGTAGCGATTTGATGTATATGAGGAAAAAAGGTAATGGGGAAATGTGTTCACGGAAAATGACGAAATTTTTCTACGGAAACAGCAATCCAAGCAAGGCCACTCGGACCATGCAAAGTCTATACTAAAATTTTACCTTGTCAAGTTTGTCTTACTCAAATTGGACCGCACTCCTAATTGTAACATATAATTAGAGGTGTCAATTACAATCTAATTATATTGATAGGTACACCAATAACCTGTCCATTTATTTTTAATGGGTTTAAATGAGTTTTCAATTAAACCCATTTAAATGTTAAGTAGCGGGTTGACTTAACTTACCCATTCATACTCATTTAAAAATAATTATATATTTTAACTCAACTTTTAAAGAGTGTTAAGCAAATAAAATTGAATTTATTCCTAATCTAATAATAATAAAATACTGTTATTTCTTGTCAAACGACATGCAAAAAAAAAATTGAAAAAATAAAGTAGAATTTTAAGTGACTTATAAATGGGTGGGTATAAATCGGTATTCATTTATTTAAATTGGTATAAATGGATTAATCCAATTATATTCATTATCCAGTTACGATCCACCTAAACCCGTCTGATTCACCTGTTTTTACACCTCTACATATTATATCTGAATAAATATTTTATACATTATCAATATATATTAGTCAGTTTAGATACATACATTAGGTAGTCTAAATACACGCAAATATATAAAAGTTTGGTGTTTAAGTTTAAATTGAGATGATATGATATGCATTTACACCCGTTAATGTATACAGTGATAATGTAGAAAAGATTAATCCATAATATAAAGTACAATAGAAATTACGTGCCCTAGCGTGACAAAAATATAGAGCACCCTCCTAATTGTAACATGAGAATAGGAAGTAAGTGCCTTAACATGATAATTGCAAGGTACACTTCTAATTCCCATACACAATAAGATGCAAAAATAGCTCACAGAAAAAACTCAATCAATTTACTATTTCACCCACCTCATTTCTTTTTTTTTTTTTTCGGAAACGATCACCCACCTCATTTCAAATTACCTTTTTTTTTTTTTTTGTCTAATTTGCCTTTTTACCCTTTTTTACTGTCTCTCTCTCCGTGAAAGCGACGGAAGCTAGTGGGCTGGACCTCATCGATGACACAGCCGATGTTGACCCAAGGCCCGCTAATATCTTTTCTGTTTTCTTCTTTTTTTTTTCGAAGGAGACTCAAGTCTTGATTGATGCATGTAGACAATCTGCAGCTACTTTGTAGTTTTCTTTCTTTTCCTTCTTTCACACTGGAGAGAGCAGTAAAATGTCAGATCAAGTAGTCTAATGAATCACGCCTTGTTTCACAATACCATGCATTAAAAAAAAAAAAAAAAAAGGCCATAGAGACGTGAGATTTAAGAAATGGGAAAGCATAAAGGAAAATACTCAAACTTGTTAAAAACTCTCTCAGGTTATTCGATTGATTGCCCTCATACTTGGCATGAGATGATAGAAATTTCAATAGTGAGTGTGTTTAGATAGTAGATTATTTGAAATAATTTTTTTAAAAAAATTCTGTGATACACTTTTTTGTTCTGATATATATGACATAAAAAGGTGATTGAAAAATGTGTTGACGATACAAATAAATAAAAATTAAAAAATAAATTACAACCCAAACAAATCCACAAGTGTCTTTTAATATATTAAGCTCGATTTAATAGGCATAATCCTCATCTGTTTAAAAGAAAAAAATCTACTACAAAAGCTTGAAAACTACAATTAGATATTCAAAAATAAACCACGCTCCCGCAATAATTTTTCAAACTTTTTTGTAATCAAACAATTAAACTAAGCCGAAGAGAGAGTTGATCAAGTGTGTTTGGATTGAGATGATTTGAAAAAAAAAATAATAATAATTTACTTCATAAATTTCAACCACCTTTTTATCTCACATATATCAAATTATATTATAAAAAATACTACAGTGATTATTTGAAATAAATCATCTAAATAAGCTCCTATCCAAACTTCATTTTTACGGCCTCCCACTTAAAAAAAAAAAAAATCAAAAGGTAACCTCCTATACAAACTTCATTTTTACGGCCTCCCACTTAAAAAAAAAAAAAAATCAAAAGGTAAGTAGGTTAGGTTCCATTGCATTACACCCTAAAATAAATGACAACAAATTTGAAGCAACCCTACACCTGAAGTACCGCACATGCGGGCCAAACTATTGAGGCTTAGGATTCTCAAGACGGTAAGGTGGTCATTTTGCTTTGCCGTTGTCTTTTGCCATAAATGGACGGACCATTAAGGAAGTTTCCCCCAAAATATGGCGAAACCTTTCTATCTTTTGAATTTCAACTGTGCCAATATCTCTATGGAAGCAAAAAGGACAGACAGACGTGAAATTACAAATTATGATAGCCAGAAGACAAAAATTTTAAAAAAAAAAGATGGCTTTTTTTTCAGTTAATGCATGGACATTTTTGCTTCTAACAAATTCTAGATTTTGTGAACGATACTAATCAAAGCTGCCCGGTCTGTGACACAATCCAGCAATTTATTTCAATTTGGTATTCCTTTCTTAAATTTCCAATAAAAATAAACTAATAAAAGAAATTAAATTCTGCTTTTCATGCATAACATTCCATGCATAACATATCCATTGAATTTCAGTATCAATTTTCTGACAAATCCTTTTGTTCTAGTTTCCTTTTTCGTTTGGGCATCTACCAGATTTACACCCTACGCTACCATCCACACCTACTAACATCCTCCCTCTAGCCCGGCCCGAATATTCCAAGCTTTTACACAGCAGGCAAGGACTCGGGCCGCCAGCCAAAGTCCGAATAATCGAACAGCCCATCAACCGTCACGAAATCTCCGTTGCCGTTGGCACCGTGATTGTTCTCACCGAGTCCCAACTCGAACGAGTCGTAATTCGGCAGCTCATGCTCAAACCCAACCATGTTCCCTAGCCCGTCCACGTCTTGCTCATTTCCATCTGGCATGTTTATGGGCTGATTCTGGGCTTGGGACTCGGAGACGGTGGGAGGAAGGCCCAGCTCATCGTCGGAGGCTTCCAGGAGGTACCCCAGGTCCGGCCGAGAATCGCCGGAATCCGAGTTGAACTCGCCGGCCGGTGGGTGAACTAGGGAAGGTGATGACTGGATTATCTCTTCCTCGAAGCTTCTGATGACCGAATCAAGGTCCTGAATCCCCGTAGCAATCTCCGGTTCATCAAGGATGTCCAAAATGTCTTCCCGGAACGTCATCACCCCGGGAGGGTCCAACTCGTTGTCAGCTCGG